TTCCATCATTAAGGATGAATGAGAAGAGGACGGGCGCTGGCTTTTTTTTAACTTGTTTTATGGTGCTAATTAAATTAGCTACTCTTGTTATTGTTGCTGCGAGGTGTTGCACTCTTGCTCTTTGTGTTTGTGACATCCTCTTGTTTTTACTAATGAGTATTTATAGCATGTTTACACAGAGGAATTGCTACTACAGAGCAAGCAATGAGATGGCCGCACACTACACTGAACACACACCCATGTGCACTTAAAGGAACAGTTCACCTAAAAAGTGAAAAATCTGTCATTATTTACTTAGCCTAATGTGGTTCCAAAACCTCTATGAATTTCTTTTTTTTCCCCATGAAATTTAAATGAATTTCATGACATCACAATAATCCACGAGTAATCCAGATGACTCCAGTCCATAGATTAACGGCACTTGCCGTCCAATAATCGTGATAAGCTTTGTGCTCTGTTGACTTTTAATAAACAAAGCATCAGCTTTAAAATTCTGCCAAATTCATAACGAAATTCAAACAATAAATACTGTTTTGGCACTCCTTAATGCGGCATGAGCGATCGCTTTAGCGCCTCAGTTCAAGCAGCATGTGAACACGTCATTCTTTCTCTTTATTGCAGTAGTACGAAATAAACTTCAAAAGGTACTATATATTATAAGATAGCTTACAGTAAAACTTACTGAAATGTCTCAAGCAATCGCTCATTCAGTTCAAACTGCGGAAAACTTGTAAAGCATGTAAACAATGCCACATAACAATCGTTAACCTCAGAATAACCATTCGGCATCCATAAGCTCATTAGTCAGCTAGAAAAATAACTAAAGAGGAGCATTTTGCTGAATATACACGCTATATGGAATATTCTTATTTTTACTTAACCTGTTGTCTACATGATAAGAGAGAATGCAAAGAGCTAAAAATAAAATTCAACACCTTCTATATAACTGCATGTTACTAATGAAGAAAAATAGACTGGATGTGTGCAAGACATATGACAACATTTATAGGATGCATTGAAGAGGAGCCCAAAATACACTCAAAGGCCAAGTGATGCTGACATAGTTATGGTCCATGATATTGGCACATATTCTGTGTAATAAGCAATTCTTTGTGACTATATATTTCTCAAGTTGGAAAAGATGTTTAGTTCCCATTTTAAGTGAACCTTAGTTCCCAGGACATCTACAAGATGGATTAAAATGCTGATAAAGACAAGAAAAGATGAGACATAAACACATAACAGTATGACTGAAATGTTAAAGTGTTAAAAAAATATATAAAACACATTTATTCTGTGGCACTTAAAATAATATTTTGGCGGCTAATTTTGTTTCTTGTAGGGAGTAAATGGCTCCTTAATTGATTTTTTTTTTTTTTTTTTTTGTCTGGAGTCCTAGGTGGCAAGGAATAATAAATCTAATTTTCTGATTGAACAAATTTTATTTGTAACAAACCAGTTTGCTTTGCCTTTTCCATAGAGAAAAAAAGAGCAGTGAATAGCTTGCATTGGAGAGCCAGAACAGTCACTGTCGCAGTTTAAAATTAGATTAGCCTTTAATCGATTGCTTGTTTGTGGCTACAGACCATTTTATTAGCTTATTTTGGGTTCACAATATCCTGTATGAACCAGCACATTTCCTGAGCAATATTTTAACCTGATGTAATCTTGACTTGCTCGATGCTGCATTTGGCCTTTGTTCACACTGCATATAAACACATATGAACCAATTAATTAAAGTCTTAAGTTAGAGCTTGGTTGGAATGGCACTCTATATTAAGTTAGATGCACGAAAGCAGGATTTTATCTGTCTTATTATGTTGAGAGAGTCTTGAATGTGGATTCATATACCTTCTGTCGATGCATATAGACTAAATTCTGACCTCTGCAGTAATCAGCTTCACAACAGCCTGCAATCTTAGACTAGTTCTACTAAGAATTTAAAGTCGGCATGAAATGAAAATTCACCCAATCTATGTTCCAAATGCATGTTATTGGTCTTAGTGTGAATGATTCATGCATGTATACGTTATTTTTATTTTTTTTGTAACCTTGATCAGACTCAGTCTTTCTGTGAAAACTGCAGACTTATCTCTGACAAATGTAGCACTTTTCCAATCATTGGCCACTTAAACCCGTCCTTTCAAACTGGCATTCAGATCTTCCTCCATTTTTAAGCGTAACGGCCACATCTCACAATCCAATTGTGACGAGTGGGGGTGGGGCCGAGAGCCGTGGGAACGGAGCGAGGCCGGTGGAGTAATTGATAATGACCCTGTTGTCCTCTCACATCAAAATCCACTAACATATTTGTTTAGAACTGTTCTGGACAGTGCTGTTCTATAAACAGTGCTTGATCTGTGCATATTTCTCTCCAGATTCAGATGAGACGACTTTTTGACTGGAGAATTAAGGACAGTGGACTCGTATTTTAGCCAAAAGCAATGGTTTGAAGTTAAAAACATATTAATGATGATTTGCTTCTTACAAATACGCAGCTTGTGTTAATTGATGGACTAGAGTCATGTGAATTACTTGTGGATTATTGTAATGTTTTTATCAGCTGTCTGGACTCTCATTCTGATGGCACCCATTCACTGCAGAGGATTCACTGGTGAGCAAGTGATGTAATACTCAATTTCTCCAAATCTGTTCAGATGAAGAAACTAATTCATATACATCTTGGATGACCTGAGGGCGAGAACAGTTTCAGCATTTTTTCATTTTTGGGTGAATTATTCCTTTAAAGCTTCTGCTATCAAAAGAAATAGTCCATTACAATGTACAAAGCAATCGGCGATGCAACAAGACTGTGACGAGAGGGGCGGGGCCGAGAGCCGTGGGAACGGAGCGAGGCCGGTGGAGTAATTGATAATGAGCGACACCTGCACCACTCACCGGTCTCGAGTCTCGAGTCTCGAGTCCAGGCCTGGTCCTCTCTCCTCTTTCACTGTCATCACCCCTCCTTTTTATCCATCCTAAAGTTAAGACAGTTTTTAGAATTTTTTGTCGAGATAGGATGCTTCTGTAATAACTTTTTCCTATCTGTAGTTAAGATAAGATTATGCACTTTGGAAATGTTATTCTGTAATAGCTTTTGTCCTAAATGAGGTCCTAACTGAAATTGCCATGGTTATTTAACAGATAAGATAGGATTCTAAAGTTAAGATATTTCTGTAATATGCCCCCAGGTCACTGAAACTGGCTCTATTTTCATGTCTCTCATGTATGAAACTGTGGTCTCATTCTCTCCCATTTCATTTAAATGGAATCTTACGACTCAATTAGTGATTGTAGTGATAATGACTGCAGAGGACTTATTACTGTATGTGGAACATTGTTGTGGTGTTTGTCTTTGTAACAAAGTTCGTAGTTCGGGAAGAAGGAGGCGGGAACCGGCGGACATTTAAACAAACTTTAATAAAATAAACACAAAATAGGGCGACAGCCCCTCGCGGACGACTGTCGCGCACAAACAAAACCAAAACACAAAATAAAGTCCAGGCCTGGTCCTCTCTCCCTTTCACTGTCGTCACTCCTTTTTATCCTTCCGGAGCTCCTCCGTGAGACTCGAGACCGGTGAGTGGTGCAGGTGTCGCTCATTATCAATTACTCCACCGGCCTCGCTCCGTTCCCACGGCTCTCGACCCCGCCCCCACTCGTCACACCAATCAACAACCGACGAGTAGAACCTGACCTTGCCCTACATTTTTTCCCTTTTTTCGATAATCTGTGTCTCCCAGATGTGTATCATAATACGGAAGAAACAATCTGTCACTACTTCCGTTTCATCACGACTTCAATAATGCCAGCACAGAGAAAATGACCAGCAAGCTGTTTTGAAGTCAAGATGAGCTCAAAAATTGACATTTTAATTCCTTAATACACTTGTTTTTGTGATTTATTTATGTACGTTTTATTAAAAAACAAAAATAAATCAAGTTTCTAAGTGTCTGAATAAAATGTAATAACTTGCTTTATCTCTGAAACATCTTTACATTTCTGCTGATGTCTAAATTGCAGAGACTGGAGAAACAACCAATCGCCAATATTTAGGCATTGTATCGGACGGCTGTTGTACATGAACATCTTAAAATCTTGCCAATGGTTTATGCAATAGTTTTTTTTTTAAGAAGTATTTTTGGCATTTTATGCCTTTTATGTAGATAGCACAGTAGGAAGCGAAGTGGAAGACAGAGAGGGGGATGGCAAAAGGTCTGTGAGCCGGGACTCTTAACTCGGGACGCCCGAAGCGCAATGGCGCTACATATCGGCATGCTGCTTACCGATGCTGCTTAAAGTCGGCTATCGGCGCCGACTTTATGCAATAATTCAACATTGATTTTTGTTATTGTGAACGCTACTAAAATAATAGCAAATAATGATCGAATTGGGGGGAAAATCTATAACTTTTGAGTGAACTTGACTTTCAGCCTCCACATCCTGGTCAAATGGTCTCCTCGAAAGCTGGTTCTAAAACCATGTTGGGAAAGTAAAAGCGGGTGCATTTCATGTTGACTTTAGAAACCTTTATATTATACTGTGATCCTTGTCTTAATTGTATTGAATTGATTCACAAAGTTCCGATTAACTGGGGCCTGCAGGTAGTAATTCACCACATAGATTAGTGTTTTTATAAATAATGGGTTGGAAGTTATTCAGGTGAGTTGCCGCCAAGTTTTCCTTTCCCTTAACACGCATTATTCGCAAGTCACAGTGTCCAGTAAGCCTTGTGCTAAGATGAAATCAGTCTCTGGTGTTTAATTTCAGCTGTCCAAATTGTGTTCCTTTCACAATCAATCTCTAGACTCGCTTTTTGATTGCTTTGCTTCATTTGTCTTAACTGCTGAAAGAGCTGTCAAGGTGGGCTTGCCTGATGCACTTCCAGCCATGACTGACAATATTTCTACCCTGATGTCGTTGTAATCTAATTAAATTGTTTTATGGGTGTAAATGTAAAATGTTTTCTTCATGGTGTTTCTCCTCTTTATTCCTCGCAGCTGCCAAAACCCTGCAGATCTTTAACATCGAGATGAAGAGTAAGATGAAAGCCCACACCATGACTGATGATGTCACTTTCTGGAAGTGGATCTCTCTTAACAGTCTTGCCCTGGTGACGGATAATGCAGTCTATCATTGGAGCATGGAGGGAGACTCTCAGCCAGTCAAAGTATTTGACAGACATTCCAGCCTGGCAGGCTGTCAAATCATCAACTACCGCACCGATGCCAAGCAGAAGTGGCTGCTGCTCATTGGCATTTCTGCTCAGGTGTCATAAGCATTTGAAATAATCATTCTGGGTTTTTGGTCTAGAATTATACATACCTATTGCTCTTGTTCTAGACACACACATGCTTAAGTTGAGATGTTTTGTTAATTTCTTGCTTTCATTTTAATTAATCATTTCTTTATTTTCATTTGTTTTCTTTAACTTATTAACTTTATTATTATTTATATATTTATTATTATTAGTTGTAGTAGTATTTTATTTCCTTAAGTCTTTATCTGTCTTTCTTTCAGTCAAATGTTGCATACTGAATCAAGGGCGTTTTTCCAAATCTCTCAAGTATTATGTTTCTTGTTACAGCAAAACAGAGTTGTTGGTGCCATGCAGCTATACTCAGTTGACAGGAAGGTGTCACAGCCTATCGAGGGTCACGCTGCTGCCTTTGGCCAGTTCAAAATGGAGGGAAATGCAGAAGAATCCACTCTCTTCTGTTTCGCTGTGCGAGGTCAGGCAGGAGGAAAGGTGTGTTTCCAGATGGTTTTTAATCACATTTAATTGCATTAACTAGAAACATTTTATTCAGCAAAGAGGCGTAAACTGCCAGTATTCCTAACACAGTTGTCTAAATAAGAGAGGAAGTGGTCTGGAAAGTTTTTTTGGGTGTTAACTACAGTTTTTGAGGAAGAGGCCATGTTGCTTGCTAGTTTTAGTTTCAGAGGTATATGTTAATAATATTATTAAACAACATTATCTTTTTTTAATTATTCTCCAGAGCTGATTATTGATGATCACTTAATTTGTCACTTATACTTGCATTATTTTGTGTGTATTACTTCACAACATGAAATTAACAAAAGAATTCATTATTCAGCTTCACATTATTGAAGTGGGGACACCACCGACCGGAAACCAGCCATTCATAAAGAAAGCTGTGGATGTGTTCTTCCCTCCAGAAGCACAGAATGACTTCCCCGTTGCCATGCAGGTATGTGGATTCTTGGACTTTTTTTCCAGTGAAAGAGACATTACTTTGTTTCTTCCTTCCTCCTTTACTGGTTGTCCCATCTTTTTCAAATAAATGCTGCTCTTTTGAATTTAATTTTCATCAAAGAATCCTGAAAAAAAAATCTGCGTATTAGAAAGATTTCTGAAGGACCATGTGACAGGTATTATGGCTGCTGAGTATTCAGCTTTGCTATCAGGAATAAATTACACTATAAAATATATTCAAAGATAATTTTTTAATAGTACTGATACAATATTAAGTTTTTACTGTATTTTTGATTAAATAAATGCAGCCTTTTAAGCATAAGATAATTATTTTAAACAAACAAAAACAAAAAATCTTACCAACTCCAATGTTTTGAACATTAATGTAAATTCATCCAGATTTGAACTGACCACCAACAAATTTCTTGTCACACAGATCAGCTCCAAACAGGACGTTGTATTTCTCGTCACTAAATACGGTTACATTCATCTGTATGACCTGGAGACGGGCACCTGCATCTACATGAACCGAATCAGCGGGGAGACCATTTTTGTGACGGCACCCCACGAAGCCACATCTGGAATCATCGGCGTGAACAGGAAAGGACAGGTACATGCTGAACATTAAATTCAGATTAACCCAAGTGGTATAGATGACATGTGAATTAAACTGAGCAATGATAAAAGTGCCACAATGTTTACAGTTTCCAGGGAAATCAACCCTCAAATGGCTTACTTATAGTTGTCTCTACACATTAAGCTGGGTTAGGAGGAAATATATTAACTCTGTAAAAAAATTACACGCTCCAGCTGTAATGAGTGGCAATATTTCAAATTTTTAGCAGCTGTGTCACTTTGATCCTGCACCACGGACCTCTATATGTGTGTTTGGTCAGATCTCTGCTCTGTCAGAGGGAATATAAGGAGGACACAACACAACTCAGCTGATTACCCCAGAGGCAGAACATTTAATACTCTTCTCTTACTGAGACATGGAAACCACCCATCCTCCCTCTGCACAGTTAATCTTTTTTTCATTTCCTCTTAACATAGCTTGAAGCATCTCTCATCCTGAAATTTTCACTTGAACTTGGAGATCAAGACCACCATAGTCAATAGAAGCATCATGATGCATAGATAATGTCAAAACGGGATAAATTTCTGCTGGATCTCAGAATATTATAAATAAACAGGTGTTCAGTAACTCAGGTGAGTTGACATTCCTGTCTGCCAGCTCTCTCTGTTCACAATGCTCCATTATGAGCTTGTTAATGGATCCCGCGAGCGTGTAAATAATTTTCCAATCATGCCAGAGAAAGTCTTAAATTATTCAGCGGGTGACAGAAAGCCAATCCAATCTGTGTCACGCTGAACCTGAAGAGCATTATTACCTTAGTCAATAATACAGAACCTCCGCCTGGGTCAACCAACAATGCCATGCACAACAGCACAAAGGTGAAATGCATAGAGTTAATGCAATGATCGTCTGTAGGGTTATGTGTGTTTTAGCTTACAGTTGTAACTATTTTGTAGAGTGTTATGTAATTGGGTTACAATAAGTTTGTCTGTTATTTTACATGTTGGTCGTAAGATCTAATATATTATGGATGGATTGGTATTAGAATAAATTTCATGTCTGAATATGATTTATGTAAGTTTAGGTAAAGGAAAAGGAATGCAGATCTCTCTTCCTGTCTCTGTTTCCCCTGCTCGTACTGGCATTCTCCATCTTCCTGTCCTCTGCGCCAGTCAGCACTGGTGTGTGATGAAAAGTCCGTTTCTAACCAGCTGCGTCTGCACTCGTGAGCGCAGTGACCTTCACTGAAAATAGCTGCGGAGAATGCAAGAGGGAGACTGACTGAGAGAGAAAAAAAAGTGGCAGTTATCATGTGATCTTGCCATGGGAGGCATTGACTGGTGTCCTAAATCCTTTCACATTAACACAGGCAGAACCTGACCGCCAATCACAGTGCGCTTAGGCAGAATGCATCATCAGCTTCTGTGACATCACACTTTGCCCTGCCTTTTTTCTTTAATCAGGCCTACTATACTACTGTAACATAACTCTCAATAAGTTAAATGTCTGGTCTGTTAGTACTTCAGGCCTTAGACAGCTCATACGGACTGGGAAAAAAAAAAGATTTTATGTCATAGTACCACTACACATTGTTTTATGTTAACCTAAATTACACATACCTGTTTTGTTCCTGTATTATGGCAAAATAAAATTTGGCATAATAAACAAATAAATAGATTAAAATTATTAACAATGTTTATTTATTGTGACAAAAAGCAGATGCACATTATTATTATTATTAATAACAATAATAATTAGTAATACACTACTAATAATTAGTCATATTAATTAATTTAACAGTAATTTATTAAATTAAGATTTTTAATAAAGTATCTATTTGTTAATAGTTAATCTTTTTATAGTAATATAATAATATAATAATAATAATACAATTAAAATTTGTTTCTGCATTTTAACATAATAAACAAATAAATATACATAACATAAGCAATTCATTACAGATAAAACTGTTAAATTATTAACAATAATATTGTTTATTATTATAGTTGTTGTTGTCATGGTTAATAGCAATATCCAAATTATTTAGAAATAATTTTTGTACACTTTTTAATCTGAATGGTTGCATTATTTTTATTTTATTATTTGAGAATGAATGGAAATTCTATAAATAATATAATAAA